TCCCGTTCTGGAAATGGTCAGCAGTGCTCCGTGCACAAAGGGAAGAGGACAATTGCAAAGAAAAGGAAAGAAACCCCAGCGGGTAGGGGCTTGGCAGGATTTTCACCTCGGGGCAGGAAACTCTGGCAACTGGGCGAACTGGCGGCTTTTGAGGAGGCCTAAATGTAGCTCTTCCAGGTTCCTGATCCCAAAAGGTGCTTAATCTCATTCTCTGAGATAGAAACCTAAAGAGAAGAGCCGAGAGACGCGTCTGGGGCGGCGACTCCTGTTGTGGTTGAAAGGTACTCAGGTCCCGTGTGACCAGAAGAAAACAGCTGCCAAGGAAATTCTGGTGACTCTGGAGGCTGAGAATTCACTTGCAAATGCCAATAACCGAGGGCGCCCGCGACGGGCGGTTCCATGGTGTAATGGTGAGCACTCTGGACTCTGAATCCAGCGATCCGAGTTCAAGTCTCGGTGGGACCTTGTCGTTTGCTGTGGAGACAAGCTGGTCTTTTACGCTGGAGCCGGAAGCCATTTGCTCTTTGTTCCAAGTCCTGGGTCAGAGGAGGGAAAAGTTTGGGTCCCAGGAGGGCTCCCCGCAGGGTGCGGGCTGCTCAAGTCCCCCCGTCCCCGGTGATGTCACTTGCGCTCTCCTATCCCCTCCTCAGGGGACCAGGTCCCAAAAACTGAGTTCTCACAGTGGCCTGGTCCACAGGGAAATTGCCAAAACATCAAATCGGAGTCACCAAGCCTAAAGGGTCCCCGTCCTGAACGGGCCTTCTGGCCCCATGCAATCGGAGGGCCAGAGCTCACAGCCAGCGCCCCAGCAACCCAGGAAGCCCCCACCCCGCGACCTTGGGTTTTGGGGTGAGAGGTCTCCCCAGCTAAAATGGCTGCTGCCCCTCAATCCTAGACCGGGAGACACTTTTCACCCAGAAAATCTCGTAATGGCACCTATTGTCTTTTTGGTAAGGAATGGTGGCATGAAATTTTGATGGGGTTAGCTCAGTCAGTCACTGGTGATTGTGTCTGGGTGTAGGGTCGATGGCTGGAGACCTAACTTAGGAGTAATACTGTTTTATTCAGATGGCCCGTCCTATTCCGAATGTTAATTTACTCTGTTCTTCACATTCAGATTTTATGCCGAATTTCTAGCTCCCACATCTCTACTGCGGGCTCTTTGTCACTGTTTCACTAAGCTTTGGAACCTGAGTCTGGAAATCTCATTCTTTGGTCCCAAGATCTCAGACGGAAAGAGAAATCCGCGCAGCGGCCTCTTAAGCTCGCGGGCTGGGAGCCCTGGTCCTGATCCTCTGCAGCCTGGAAGGAGCTCCCGCAGGGCCGCAGGGAAGAGGAGGCTGAGCAGCCCAGAGGGATGAGTGTCTGACGCTGGGGCTCCCCCTCGACGGCCAGGACCCGGCCCCAAGGAGAAGACGATGCCTTAGGGCCAGACAGATGCAAAAATGTTTTCTTCTGCGCTGCAGAACACTTTGAATGAGGCTCGTGAGTGGGTGTTGAGAGTGAGCTAAGATGTCCCTCCAGGCGCTCAGGACCATCGCTCTGATTTTCATATTTTGAAAATGTGAGAATTTTCAGCAGTTACAAAGGACTGAAAAACACAACAGTCCTTGAGGGGGTCAGTTTGGAGGGTGTGGGGAGGTGTGGTGGGTGGTGGGAGAGAGGTGCCTTGTCGGCTCCCTGGAGTGGACCGGCAGGAGGGAAAACACACACTCCGTTTCCCCTTGCAGGCTGGACTGAAGCGCCTGGGATGGAAAATTGCACAGCCAAAGTGTAGCAGGTGCATTGAAAGTTGTTATCCCTAGAGAGAAGGGCGGGGCCACGACGCTGCTGTCACTGCTGCTGTTCACCACCAGCTTTGCAGCATGTGAGACTTTCGTAACAGCATATAGTGCGTGCAAATCACTCGTGTTTACAAGCAACTGATCACATTCCTTACAGATTTCTTTGTTCCTTCTCCATTCCCACTGCTTCACCTGTCTAAACTTAAAGGAAAAAAAATTTTTGTTTTTACACGTGATATTAAGTTGATCCTCAGCCCACCCTCTTCAAGTAGCTGGGATCACAGGTGTACAACACGGTGTCCAGCTAATTTGTGTATATTTTGTAGCGATGGGGGTTTTGCCAAGTTGGCCAGGCTGGTCTCGAACTCCTGGACTCAAGTGATCTGCCTGCCTGCGCCTCCCAACGTGCTGGGATTAAGTGCTGGCCTGCATGCCCAGCCATCATTTGTATTTTGCATTTCAATATTTTATAGTCACATGTATCACTCCTCAAAGATTCTGGGTTTTGTAGCATGCAAATGATGGGATTCAAGACAGACTACTCCAAAACATAACACCTTGGGCTCTTAAATATTTTATACTAATTTGAGAAAATGGCAGAAGCAGGAAGGCCACTGTCACCCTCCCCCTGCCCTTCTTTCCTGAAGCCAATCATAAGACTCTCGTGTGAGAGGTGCCCTCTCTGTACCCAGAGGAAAGGTGCATCGTTGTGTCTGAAGATACAGGGACACAGAGAAGAGTCTGAACACATAGGCCTGCTATGTTTCCCGCAGTTTATTACCATTAGATCGTGCTTTCATTCCAACACACTTCTTTATGACTCTCCACTCTTCATCTAACCTACTGTTAAAGGAAAAAAGAAAGGAAAAAATACTGAGGTTTAGTTGTTTCCATCGGTCTTCATTTCCTTTGGAAGGCGCTCCCGTCATGTGAAACTTACATTAAATAACTAGGCATGCTGTTCTCTTGTTAGTCTGTCTTTTGCTGTAAGGGTCTCAGCAGTGACCCTAGGCCGGGTGAGGAAAAGTCCTATTTCCTTCCCTAAGTGTACAAATGTCTTCCACTTTAAAACTATAAAAATTTTATTGAGGCTGATTTGAAGCAAGAAACTGAATCACTAATCCCCTTTGGATGAGCTGAACAGATGAGCTAATAAAGTCCCAGTTCCTCCCAGAGAGAAATAGGGTTTTGTTTTGTTTTTTGAGACCGAGTTTCACTCCTGTTGCCCAGGCTGAAGGGCGATGGTGTGATCTCGGCTCACTGCAACCTCCACCTCCTGGGTTCAAGTGATTCTCCTGCCTCAGCCTCCCAGGTAGCTGGGATTACAAGCATGCACCACCATGCCCAGCTAATTTTGTATTTTTAGTAGAGATGGGGTTTCTCCATGTTGGTCAGGCTGGTGTTGAACTCCTGACCTCAGGTGATCCTCCCACCTCAGCCTCTCAAAGTGCTGGGATTACAGGCATGAGCCACCGTGCAAGCCAGAGAAACACTTCTATAGCTCATTCCCTGAAGCTCCTTGAGGGTCAAACCTGCTGAAGATTGAGGGGCCTTCCTGGGACCTCCCACCCCAGGAGATCACCGCTGGTGAGAGGATTGCCGAAGTCTCCCTGGGAGGGTGCACGGCCACTAGAAAGTATCACTGCTGTGACTTCAATACAACTGGTTTCATCACGTCTGCTCTTTCTGTTTGTTTTTTTGGAGATGGAGTCTTGCTGTATCACCCAGGCTAGAGTGCAGTGGTGCGATCACAGCTCACTGCAACCTCTGCCTCCTCGGTTCAAGTGATTCTTCTGCCTCAGCCTCCCGAGTAACTGGGATTACAGATGCAACACAGTGGGGGGCTAATTTTTGTATTTTTAGTGGAGACAGAGTTTTGCCATGATGGCCAGGCTAGTCTCGGACTCCTGACCTCGGGTTCTCCACCCACCTTGGCTTCCCAAAGTGCTGGGATTACAGGCATGAGCCCCGGCACCTGGCCACGTCTGCTCTTTGCGCACCGCTGCAGGAAACTACAAGAGCTAACGTGCAAATGAGTAACAGATCCACACTCCCCGGCCGTGCCTGACATGCACAGTGCCACATGGCAGGCACAGCCGATGAGTGTGTGATTATTTAGTCCTTGCAGGCCAAGGTTGCACCATCATCTTCATCTTCCGCATGAGAGGACTGGGATGCAGAGATGTTAAGTAACCTGCTCAGGGTCACTCAGGTCAGATTTCTTTGACAGTCATACTTTTCCTATGTCAGGTTTTTCTCACTGTCATAGTTTTTGCAAGGGCACTTTCGTCAGGAGCAGTATAAACGCAGTGGTTCTGAGAATGCCTTCTGGAGCCAGGCTGCCTTCAGTTCAAATTCCTACTTTCAAATCCTCCTTCCCCGGCTAAGTGACCCTGAGCACTGTACCTTGCTTCTAACCTCCAACCTGCCCTTGGCTATTCCTGGGCATAGGCCAGGCTAAATAGGGGAGAAATTTACTTCCAACTCTAAGTCTGAAACAAAGATGATAACAGCCCCTTCCTGAGACAAACTCCTTCCTTTCTTGGGCATCACAGCTCCTTAGCAAAGCTAACAAATTAGCCACAAGAGTGAAAATTATGGCTCAGGAGCCATGCAGCCAGAAGCCACACGATTCCTAAGCTCCCCAGTTGTGCCCATAAATAACATCATTCGTATAAAACCTAAGATTGGTGTTCAAGGTGTTTTTCAGAACCTGCCTTATGATGAACTAGCTGGTGCCACCCAGACGGGTGAACTGGCTCATCTGGTCCTGTGGCCCCCACCCAGGGACTGACTCAGTGCAAGAAGACAAGCTCCAACTCCCTGTGATTTCACCTCCACCCCAACCAATCAGCTTTCCCCACTCCCCAGCCCTCTGCTGGCCAAACTGTCCTTTAAAAACACGCTAGTCTGAATTTGGGGGGAGACAGTTTTGAGTAATAATGAACCTCTGTCCTGTTGCTTAGCTGGCTCTGCATGCATTAGATCCTTTACTGCAGGAAGCCGGCTGCTCTCAGCTCCATTGACTTTTCTGGGCCAGCAGCAAGATAAACCCACCAATTACATTAATAAAAGAAAAACATAAACAGCACATGTGCTTGAAGAGAAATGTAAGTTCTGTGTATTTCTTCTGAAGAAACCAAAGGAGGAGGAATGATATGAGAGGGAGTACACCGTCTAAATATTTTAATGATTCTCCTGCCTCCCCCATATCCTTCTTCTCCCAGCAACTGCTCCCCAGAAACCTTCAACTTAAACACAATCCTACCAGAACCGAGTTTGTCCTCCCCTTCACATTTTCCTCTCACCTGTCCCACACCCCTGCCATAGCTAATCTGTTCTGTCATTTCCAGGTCATTGAGTTTTTCCATTTAAAAATATAAAAGATACAGAAAGAAGAAGATAACCAGTCACCCATATTTCCACCACCTGGAATTAAGTATTATTCGCACATGTACATATTTTTCTTCCAAACCTTTTTAAAGTTTCTCTTTTTTTTAATCATACATGCTTAGCATAGACCATACCACCAGTACAGAAAAAGTACAGATATGTACGATTTCTGATCACCTTAAGTTCAAAATCACTTTTGTTAACATTGGGGCAACGCTGATGGAGTCGTGTTCTGGTTTATCTACAGAGACAAGACTGTATGTTTTAGCTAGACTGTCCCCTGCCCGCCCCCGCAGAAGAAAACTCAATAAAGAAGGCCATATATAAATATGTTTTTGCAAAATTGAGCTTAGACTCTATTTTTATTTTACTAATATTTCATTTAATAGTGCATGAACTTAACTGAGGACAGTAAGACAGAAACAAACATGGAGGAATTCCTGAACTCCGATCACAGAGACACTTTTCTAAAGGAATTGTCTAAAGGTAAACACACATGAAATTAGGGCGAAGGCATTAGGATTTAAAGTGGTTTTCTTCTGTGGTCATTGTTGTTTGCTTTTTGAAATACGGTTTCTGTCTGATATTGAAGGACTTTCAATTTCAAGCGGAATGCTACAGCACCAGGAAAACCATATGTGAAAAGAGCAAGTTTTCTTTGTAATCCTAAACGTTCTAGTCTGCGAATTAAAAGCCATTATGTGAAGAAGGGTGCACAGGCTCCAGCTGGCCGTGGAAAGGGTGCTCGATAACATAGGATGAGGACCCGCTTCTATGGGAGAGAACAGAAGGTAGGGGGGAAGGGAGGGAGAGGCCGACGTCACTTCCCCCCCGGCTCCGGCAGCGGGTTGGTCGGCTGAGTGGCGGAGGAGCAGGCGGGACTGGGAAGGTGCTGTCGGTGACATCACGGAGAGGGCGACTTCTATGCAGATGAGGCGGCGCAGGGGCTGCTGCGTGGCCACCTGCTGCACCCGACGAAGGAGTCCCCGTCGTGGGAGCGAGTCCCGGACCGCTGGTGGGACCCGAGAGTCCCAGCTCTGTGTCCGGGCTAGGAGGGCTGGGGACGCGGTGCCCGCGGCAAGTGACCCTGGGTGTAAAGGTTGAGGCGTATGAGGCTGTGTCGGGGCGGAGGCGAGAGAGCTCATACTTACCTGGCAGGGGAGATACCATGATCACGAAGGTGGTTTTCCCAGGGCGAGGCTTATCCATTGCACTCCGGATGTGCTGACCCCTGCGATTTCCCCAAATGTGGGAAACTCGACTGCATAATTTGTGGTAGTGGGGGACTGCGTTCGCGCTTTCCCCTGGCTTTTTGTGGTGTCAAAAAAAAGAAACACGAAAGGCTAGTTCTGATTCGGATTTGATTTCTGTGTTTTAACTTTTTTGTGGTGAAAGTTAGTAAAGAGCTGGAACAACGTGTCGCTCCTTTTGGCTTTTGGCCGAATAGTTCTTCTCTTTATGCTTTTTACCGAGGTTACTCTATGGCCCGGGATTCTCACGCTCTGTGAAAACCTTCGTGTTTTTTCCTCTACCCCCGTCAGTCACCTTTCAGAGTTCCTGGGATTCCTGTGCTACTGAGGAATGTATTCTCACCTCAGAGGGCCTGGTGGAAACTGCGCAGACAAGCGCTCATCTTCGGGATCAAAGCAGGGCCTTTCAGGCTCCTAGTGTCCCCTTCGGTTGTAGACATAACACGCTTCCTTCGTGTAGGGGAATGGCTCTGCCGGCGCCCAGGCGCCCTTGCGCAGATTCATCGAGGCCCACAGGTCTGAACCGCAATCTTACCTGTCTTAGCGGAAATGCGCTGCCATCTCCCTGAAATAGAAGACGGGACGTTTG